TGACAGAGACTAGTCTTTCTGTGGAAAGGGTGAACGCAATCATTCACGAACATTTGAATTTTAGAAAAGTTAGCGCACGATGGGTACCAAGACAGCTTTCCGCTTTTGACCGGCACAGCAGAGCTGAAGTCTGCACTGCGTTGAAGGAACGTTTTGACAGGGAAGGCCAAGATTTTCTTGGAAACATACAAGCTCATACTGCTAACATTACTGCAACTCTGCTGTGAGGTATTGCCACATCCTCATTATAGCCCACACCCCACCCTAAGTGATTGACATCTGTTTGGACCCCTAAAAGAGTTTCCCCGGAGGTCAGCATTTCAGCACTGATGACGAAGTTTAGCAGGCAGTCCTAGGATGGTTCAGGCGTACTGACAAATCTTTCTATGCCAAAGCTTTCCAGGCCTTAAAATGCTGGGATAAGTGTATAAATGTAGCAGGGGAGTATGTCGAAAAGTAAATGCAGTTTCCACACCCTGAAATTTGTTCTTGATTATATAAACTCAAAAGTCCCGATTCGACTTGAACACCCCTCGTATTACTGCACCTGTCATTCATTTAACAAAGCTGTGAAGTTGGTAAAAGGTATCTTAAACTCCGCACTGGAAACCATTATGTGGGCTATAAGTAATTAAGGCTAGTTGGATTCAGGGGCGGACTGACAACTCATGGGGCCCCCGGCAATAGGAGATCATGGGACCCCTGTGTCCTTGCCTAAACTCAAAAAAGCCTATGAAACAGGTACCAGGGGCATCTCATGGGGCCCCCTACTCACCCCGGGCCCTCGGGCAGTGCCCGAGTTTCCAAATATTCAGTCCGCCCCTGGTTGAAGGTAAATCTCAGGAAATTAAAAAAAAAAAATTGTATAATGTATGGCCAGCTTAAAGGACAATATACAGTATATGATATAATGTTTAAAATAAACTTTCTCTACTTTTAGTTCATTTTAAAAATGTTTCTATAGTCAAAAATGAAAAATCCTATATTCATTTTCAGATTGTATTTCAATTATTCCTACCCTACTTCTATTAACTGCTTTAATACCAGACATTTTTATCCCCTTCCTGCCCAGGCCAATTTTCAGCTTTCAGCGCTGTCGCACTTTGAATGACAATTGTGCGGTCATGTAACCCATATGAAATTTTTATATTTTTTCACACAAATAGAGCTTTCTTTTGGTGTTATTTAATCACCAATGAGTTTTTAATTTTTTTGCTAAATAAACGAAAAAAAAAAGGGAAAATAACCCAAATCAGTGTATATTATTTAGTCTGTAGGAAAGTTACAGAGTCCACAAACTATGGGATTAATACACTATATTGCCAAAAGTATTGCACTAGCTCTCCAAATCATTGGATTCAGGTGTTCCAATCACCTCCATGCCCACAGGTGTATAAAATCAAGCACCTAGGCATGCAGACTGTTTCTACAAACATTTGTGAAAGAATGGGTCGCTCTCAGGAGCTCAGTGACTCCAAGCGTGGTCCTGTGATAGGTTGTCACCTGTGCAATAAGTCCATCCGTGACATTTTCTGGCTACTAAATTATCCACTGTCACCTATTAGTGGTATTATAACAAAGTGGAAGTAACTGGGAACAACAGCAGCTCAGGGGAGTGGGGTCAGTGCATGCTGAAGTGCACAGTGCGCAGAAGTCACCAAATGCCTGCAGAGTCAATAGCTAAAGACCTCCAAACTTGGTGTGGCCTTCAGATTAGCACAACAGTGTGTAGAGAGCTTCATGGAATGGGTTTCCATGGCCGAGAAGCTGCATCCAAGCCTTACATCACCAAGTTCAATGCAAAGCATTGGATGCCGTGGTGTAAAGCATGGCGCCACTGGACTCTAGAGCAGTGGGGAAGGTGTTCTTTGGAGTGACCGATCACACTTCTCTATCTGGCAATCTGATGGACGTGTCTGGGTTTGGCAGTTGCCAGGAGAACGGTACTTGCCTGACTGCATTGTGCCAAGTGTAAAGTTTGGATTGAGGGGGATTATGGTGGGGGGTTGTTTTTCAGGAGTTGGGCTTGGCCCCCTAGTTCCAGTGAAGGGAACTCCTTAAGGCAAAAGCATACCAAGACATTTTGGACAATTTCATGCTTCCAACTTTGTGGGAAGAGTTTGGGGATGGCCCCTTCCTGTTCCAACATGACTGCACACCAGTGCACAAAGAAAGGTCCATAAAGACATGGATGAGCCAGTTTGGGGTGGAGGAACTTGACTGCCTGCACAGAGTCCTGACCTCAACCCTATAGAACACCTTTGAGATGAATTAGAGTGAAGACTACGAGCCAGGCCTTCTCGTCCGACATCAGTGCCTGACCTGACAAATGTGCTTCTGGAAGAATGGTCAAACCTTCCCATAGACACCCTCCTAAACCTTGTGGACAGCCTTCCCAGAAGAGTTGAAGCTGTTATAGCTGCAAAGGGCGGGGCCAACTCAATATTGAACCCTACGGACTAAGACTGGGATGCCATTAAAGTTCATGTGTGTGGAAAGGCAGGCTGACCAATACTGTTTGCAATATAGTGTATCTGAAAATTGATCAAACCTGATGTACTGATGGCCAATCTCATTTCTTCAGTCTCAGAAATGTTAGGACAGTGCAGATATCTCCCATATAACCGCTTTTTGGAATGTAGATAGTCCAAGGTATTTAGTAAGAGGCATGGTAAGTTTTTTTAAGTTTATTTTTTTTTGTCATTTTTTGGAAGATAAAGAAATGAAAAATCTATGTTTTCACAATTTTTTTTTTTTTTTAACATACTGTCACCAGTGTAGTATAGCGTCATCATATAACTGGTTGTGGAGGTGATCAGGGATACTGACTGGTGCTAGTGTGGAAAAAAATGAATAATTAAAAAAAAATGTTTTTAATTTTTTTATACGATTTCTTTTTTACACACGCCATGACCAGAGCAATATAATGTTATACCATAGTAACATTGTACTACTCTGGGAAAGTGAACAGGATTTTTTTTTTACACATTATAATTGCTTATTGCAGTGAATTTCACTTCTAAAAGCAAGCATTTTATTGAATGAAATTAATTAATTTGGTTTGTTCTGTTTGATTAGCTGTGATTGGCCACAGCTAATCCCATGGTACAGATGGGCTGTGATTGGCCATGTCTGTGCCATGTGATCACTGTGACCAATCACAGCTAAAAACATAATTGTAACAATGAATGGCATGAATCGAAGCCATTTATTGTTTACAATTGTCATATGATCTGCTGAGATTGGTCACAGCGATTACATGGTACCAGCAGTGGCCCAGTACACTGGTCAGTAATCGGCTATGTCCTATGGACACAGCCAGTGACAGATCATGCACGTAGCACAGCCCTTTACAGGAGGACGTCATATGACGCCCACCTGGAACGACAAAACTCCGGCCTGGCCGTCAATTTGCTATAGGCGGTAAGTGGGTATTCTGAATGATCTTGAAGTTTTCTAACTTATTTTGTGAAGCTCCCCACAGACTTCCTTCCTGGTTTTCCGTGACACATTGGGATTGATTTACTAAAGGCAAAAAGACTGCAATTTGCAGTTGCAGTTGCTCAGAGTTTAGCAAACAAGGCAAAGATTCACTTTACAATAAACAACCAATCACAAGCAAGAAAATAAAAAAAACAGCATTTTTGCTAACACGATTGGATGATGTTAGTCAGCTGAGCTTTACCACGTTTACTAAGCTCTGGAGCAACTGTACTTGCAAAGTGCACAGTCTGTTTGCCTTTGGTAAATCAACCCTATAGTAACAATGCCATGTTTGGAGGCACTGCTGTGTCGCACATTTCACAGAGACTACCATCTGAACTACAGCGGTGCTGAGAGGAGAAGTTTCAGGAGGCGGAGTAAGTACAGGAATTACCGTACTGCTTTCAGGCAGCAAGTTACCATGGGATATGTAGTCTTTTGGAAATTGAAAATAAACAGCAGAGGGGAAGCTGCAAAGCATGCAGGGAATCCAGGAGATTGTGGAAAGAGATGACAGGCAGCACTCACAACATGAAATGAGGATCATTTTTCATATTAGCTTCTGTTGGATTGTCAATAATAAGTATTGTTTGTATTATTATTATAATGCTGGTGTTATAAAAGGAAAGTGTTTGCTTTGACCATAGAGTTCCTTTAATCCAGTGGTCACATGACCACGTGGTGTCTTTACCTGTCCCTTTCCTCAAGTGCGGGGGCATGTCTGTGTTGCCTGAGGGTGGAAGTAGAGGGGAAGAAATACATTCCCTGTGCTGCAAAGCTGACTATGGGACTACAGGCATGCCATGCGTCAACATGTTTTGTGAATGTTGACCACCACTAATTTAGAGACTTTTGTCCATGGCCTTTTAAGACCAGTGAACCTCAAACTAAAATTAGTATGTGCATTAAAACAAGTATTTCATCAGCTGCTTTGGCCTTAGTTTCTTTTAACAATTCTTTGCAAATGTGCTATGTAGGTTTTGTCCCCAAAGGTGTCCATAGATGATTCGGATGATCACATATTCGAGGTGGACGGAAGAATCCTCCCCCTGCACTACTGTATTCTGACAGTGGGACTTCCCCTCTGCGGTGCCCAGAATACACTGATCATCACTGCAGCTGATTGCCTGCATGCGCTGATTGAACACAATTGTCCTGTTCGAAAGGAGCTGATCAGTAGGTTGACTGCTTTCGAATGGGAAAGGCCACAGATGGATCGAAATTTGGATGGTCCCCGCTGATCCGATTGAATTTCAATCCATCTATGGCCAGCTTTATTTGGGTCTTGTTAGAACTTTGTGGCTCTGCATATAGAGTTCCTATATCAAGGCTCAGTGATCTGTAAGGAAAATCTCTAGATCTGTTTTAGGATATTGTCTTAATTACTTATATGGGTGATCAGTACATCTCAGAATCAATATTTTTTTCTCTCAGCTGCAAAAAACTGCAAGGAACTCCTACAGCATGGTGAAATACTAAGTGATTGGTACACCATATACCCAGATGTCCAGAAGCCCATGAAAGTGTTGTGTGATATGGATACTGATGGAGGAGGCTGGATTGTAAGTGGTCAGAAGATGAAGCTTCAATGTAGCTAAAGAAAAAACAAGACATAATTCTTAAATGTTAAAGTTGTGGTGAGAGGCCCAAAGAGTCCTAAAACCTGGGGCACTGTGACAAGCAAAGAATGGCCACATGCCATGGTCAGCATATCTGCAAACCTTCTAAACCTTGTCTCGCTGAGAATGGGCAGGTAGAGCTGGTGATAAAGACACTAGTTGCATGTTGGGGTTCTCCAGTATTTAGAGCTCTTGTTGTGCTCTGTCATAAATCAGGAGTCTTTACTCTACAGTAGGTGCAAGGTAAAGTTTCATGGAATTTAGTTAGCCAAAGGTGTGCTTTCAAGAAGAACATTTTTTTCTTTTAGAACATGCTACGAAACAACTCATCGATAAATTAAGTGCTTGTAGGAAGACTAGGACACCATACTATTTCTTGATGTAGGTGTAACTTAAAAGACATAGTGATTAGATATTTTTGATTAGGGATGGGCAATCAGTTTTGGATTAACTGGCCAATATGTTAAAACATAGTAGGTCCTCTGGCCTGACTGCATAGACCTAAGCCTTGGGCTGCAGGATTGTCACTCAAATAGTTGGCTGTTTTTTAGGCAGTTCGGAAACCATAGGTGAAATTTACATCCAACATTTAGTCCCCGCTTGCTAATAATTTATATGGCGGATATGTAGTGAGCCATTCCACTCAGGGGACATAATTAGACCTATTGTTTGGGGAGAGGGGAGTGTGTGGGCTTGGGAAGAGTCAGAAATACTTACCAAGCATTGTTTTTCAGCTGCAGTGTATATGAGGCCTTTATAGTAAATGGTGGAGTCAACTAAACAGAAAATTCAGTATACAGTGCAATGCAAAGGGCAAAGGTATCCGTAAGTAAAATACATAAGCCCAACCATCTGTTTGCAGTAATAACTTTCTGTGTGTAGGTTTTCCAGAGACGTTATGATGGATCAGTTGATTTTTTCCGTGATTGGAATTCCTACAAGAAAGGTTTCGGGAGCCGCCTGACTGAGTTTTGGTTGGGCAACGACAATCTTCATATGCTGACATCATCAGGTAATGAGACTGCCACATGAGCACCTTCATCTTCCCTCCATTCCATCACAGAAGATGTTTAGATACAGTACACCCATAGATGCTTGAGGATCAAGTACAAACTTCCCTCAAGTTTTGGCATATGTGAGTTTGTACTTCACTTTTGAATGTTAAGTTTGTATATGCCTATGCTATGGAGAAAGGTGGGGGTACTTCTAACACCTTACACCACAGGTGTCAAACTGGAGGCCCTCCAACTGTTGTCAAACTACAAGTCCCATGAGACATTGCAAGATTGACAGTTACGAGCATGACTCCCAAAGGTAGAGGCATGATGGGGCTTGTAATTTTGCAACAGCTGGAGAGCCACCAGTTTGACACCGCTGCCTTACACCTTCAAGAACCATATTTCTAACAAGAATGGTCACTATTTTCCTTCTGAGCTCTTGGCCAGGGATGTCTAGCATTGCGTAAAGACATGAGATTGGTGCTCAAGCTGGGTTTAAAGTAGAACTGAAGGCTAAAACCGTTTTTAATTTTGGGAGGGTCAGATTCTTTTGCCATCTATGTTCCATTGAGGGAATTTCCCTCAACTTCCTGTCCCAAAGCCACAACAAGATAAGAGAAGAATTAGCTCCAAAGTGAGGTAAAACCACTCACTATGTGACCTAGAAGAAAGTAGAGATCATTGGGGTAGCAGTGTAGCAGTGTCTACTGTAATGGACCCCAGACACCCACGACTGGGTATATCCATCAAAAAGTTGCTTCTCAGGCTCTGGAACATGAGACCAGTGAATCTGGCTATTGTTACCCCAAGATCCAGACGACACCAGATTTGAAGTAAACAAGAAGTAGACTACTTTATTTGAACACAGATACAAGATATATACACTCAAGGGGAAAATCCCCCCTCCCTGCATAATGACATAGGACGGGGCAATCTACATCTAGCAACAAGAGAGACACAGGTATTCAAATTTCACACCAGCAGATAATCCCATCAGGAGGGAGGGCTAGTGGAGACCCCCCCCCCCCACTAAGCTAATATACATACATCCCATAACAGTTTGCTCCCAAGCCTGACAAACAATAGAACAATGGGATGCAGCCACACAACACCAAACAATCCACAACCCCCACCCCACCTATCTCCTAAACATGTCTACACAGTCTGAGACAAAGCCCACACAATATTAGGACAGATCACCCTGTACCCCTAACAGGCCACAGGGTGATTTACACATAAGAGGGATATGGGGAGCTGAGACAGGGGTCTCCCAACCTCTGCAAAGTAAGCTGGATTCTATGGGCCCCCTACCCAAAGTGACTCCCGTCACATCTAAGTGATTTCCAGGTCCCAGGGATATATCGGCCAGGTATGGTATATACATAGATGCGCTGGTCCAGGAAAGTCCAATGTACTATATAAAAACATGCTTGGAATTGTTCTTTGAGCTAACCACTACACCAGTAGAATTTTTTTTTTCAATTTTCATTTTGAGAATCATTTTCTAATGGCCAGTGGGGCCAAACTGACATTCGTTTTTAGCCGTAGTGATAAGAAACGTGGAAAAGATGGAATATTTTTCTTGAACAACAGAACTTCTGTGAATGGGGTTTCCGTTCGAGAAAAATCGCACATATTGTAATGAAACCTTTTTAATATGTATCGGATTCCATTCAAGTGGCAGATCTGAAGGAAATTTTAAGGGCTTTGAAACAAAATTCGTTGACTCAATGATGACAAGAAAGAAAGTTCTCATGATCTAACCCTGTATGATCAGTTTTATGTTTTTACATCTTGTTGATCAGCTGAGATATTTATAAATGAAGGGTGTCAGTGCTTTTCAAAATACATTGTATTGGTGGATCTTTTCACAGGCACCTGGGAATTGCGTATCGATCTATACACCGTTGACAACAAAAAGAATTTTGCCAAGTATGCGTCCTTTCAAGTCCTGGGAGAGGCTGAGAAATACAAATTATTACTTGGGGCTTTTACTCAGGGCGATGCAGGTAAGATATTGCTAGCTGACTGTTATCATTCTAATGAATGTCCAAGAGCAGTCTTTTTGGTCCTCTAAGATGCCCAGCATGAGCCTGGAGCCAGTGACAGAATAAGATAACAGTCAATGAATTCCTTGCCTGGCAATGACTGCCTAGCACACTTTAGACATACTCCCAAGTATGCACAAAAGACACAAATCAATGTGGCTGTGTAGTCATTGATACATAATAAAATGCTTTATTTAAAACAGAACTTATCAGTATCTGAGCACCAGAAACCAAAAACACTGTTTAATTCATTTGTATTATGCAAAGCAAACTCGCCCATCTATCCATGTCTCCATGCTTTATTTTGTTGAGATGTCACTTTGAAAAACACTCCCCTTGCTGGCCATGGCAGCCTTGAGAAAGGGCAGATGATTCATATAGCATTTACTTTCTGGAATCCATCTGCCCTTGGCTCAAGCATGCAGACAGTAGGGTGTGCTTAGCTGAGAAAGCCCCTCCTCCAGATGAAGGACAATGAAGACTCCTGGGCAGGGGCGGACTGACCATTCGAGCACTCGGGCACTGCCCGAGGGCCCGGGGTCAGTAGGGGGCCACATGAAATGCCCCTGGTACCTTTTTTATAGGCTTTTTTTGAGTGAGGGCAAGGACACAGGGGCCCCATGATCCCCTCTTGCCCGGGGGCCCCATGAGTTGTCAGTCCGCTCCTGCTCCTGGGATGTATGACATTATTTCAGCCTAGACCACTGCAGCACTACTCCTGTAAGGGCTGCTGGCTTTACCTGGCTCTTCCCCAAAAGTGCAGAGGCTACCTGTCCACCCAAACAACAGTCCAACAGTCTGGCTCCAATAAACAGTCAAGGGCATGGGTGTCAAACTGGCGGCCCTCCAGCTGTTGCCAAACTACAAGTCCCATGAGGCATTGCAAGATTGACAGTTACAGGTATGACTCCCAAAGGTAGAGACATGATGGAACTTGTAGTTTCACAACAACTGGAGGGCCGCCAGTTTGACACCCCTGGTCTAAGGGTTGTCTCTTTGTAATTAGGGCAAGGGATACTCCAGAACGTTTAGTATTCAGCCATGGGAGGACAATTCTCTTCCTAAGTAAATGTGAATGATAGACAGTCTATCGCTTCACAGCTGAGGATCATGAAGCAAGTCTCTGAGCAGTCTAAGGTTTCACAGCTGAAGACCATGAAGCAAGTCTCTGGCATCTGATTACATTGCGCCTATGTACAAATGCCAGTACCAAGTGCAGTCTCCAGGATGCTACACAGTCACAGGCAAGCCCAGACTGGGACAAAAAAAATAGGCATTTTAGACTGAGCACCCCCGAGCCTGGGGGCACTTCCCTTGGAGACCGGTGGCAGGATGCCAGGGCCCGGTCGCAAGTGCCACCTTTGCAACCCCCGTAGTTCTGTCACTGGTGTTAGTAGTTTTTTTCATTTTTATTTTTTTTTTTTTTTTTTTACAATTGTATTATTATATATATATATATATATATATATATTTATTTTTATTTTTACCATTTTATTTTTGTTTTACAATTTTTTTAGGAGCCTTATGGGGAGTTTTGGTAAGATATCAGGGGTCTAAACAGACCTCTGACATCTCACCTTTTGTGAGAGAAAAATTAAATTGAGAACACAGCCCTCAATGTCCATCTCTGCAGAGCCTCAGCAGCACAGAATTAAAGTATAGCTCTGTCCCGTTCATTCATAAACTGAAGCATAGTAAACACAGTTTAATGTGCCTCAGTTACAGGGGCTGACTGGCAACTTTTGGCTTAGGGGGCAAGTACAACCTAGAGACCCATGGTGCAGTGACTCGACCCCCCTCCCTCTTTTCTGCCTTTTCCCAACCCCCATCCCAGGCTGAAGCTCCACTCCAACTACTCTCTGCTCACTGGGTAGATCAGGCTGGACAGCAAATGCCCTGTGGGCCCTAAGGCCAGTCTGAGCCTGGTCACAGGAATCAGCATGTGGTCTTTACTCACAAGTCCCCAGGACAACTTCCACCTTCCAGCTTCCTCTGAACACAGTCCAGTAATTGAAATGGCACCTTTCTAGACCGATTTCTTAGTGGTGAAGTCCTGCAGTCAGTTCCAGATCACTTCCAGGTCCCTGCCCTGCCACTATTGAGACCTAACAGCCACACAGTTCATAGGCTGCCTCAAGGGCAACAGCCCCTTGAGGCTTGGAACTCTCCTTACTGGGGAAAGACAATCTTTTCAGGGCTCCAGACTATTTATCAGCCTCCCAGCCACCATCTGAGAACACTTCCCCAGGGATTGGCTAGGCCCTGATCAATATTCAGGCTGGTTATTTGAATTCTTTCTCCTTATGCTTTAGAAACTTCTCCCAGGCTGTGAAACTCTGAACAGACCAGAGCAAACAATCATTCAGCACTCAATCAATCGCTAAACAAGCAGAGTTTAGTTCTGCTTTAATGTAAGCACCACTGATACCTAACAAGGAATGAGCATTTGTAATATTTACTTATTTTGTGCTTTTAATTGCAATTTTTGTTAGGTTGGTGAAACGGTCTCCTTTTATCGCATGCAGTGCTTAATTATGGTCATTATTTATATTTCAATTAAAAAATTCTTGATTTTCCTTTTTTTTCTCGATTTAAGCTATTGTAGCACCATCCTAGTTTAGCTAGATTTGAATTGTCAGCTAGAAGGCTAAGTAGCAGCTTGGGTATGATTGCATGCTGGGTCAAAGTTTAGGTCAGCTGAGAGGTTTCTGCAGGCCAGCTCCTCTGAAATTTCCCCGTTCTAGGGATTTTGGAGGAAGGCTCTAGAGGCAGTGGGTGGATCTTAGGAGTGGCTGGCTGCACTCTTGAGGGGTCCTGACAAGTCCCCAACAAGAGCTTGGTAAGGGGCTGGACACTCTTGAAAGTGTGGGAGCTTGCTCAGTAGAGGAGAGTTGCAGGAGAGTTCGGGTGGAAGATGTGAGGCTCAAGGAAGGAGGCTGAGAAGAGGCCCAGTGCAGGCCTGGAGCTGAAAAGGAAGAAACCTCAAGATTCACTGGCACCCTGACAGAGGACCACCTGTATGGCAGGGAAGGAGCGGCCCAGCAGCCACCAACCCACAAGCATTGCAGGAGAGGATCTGAGTGAGCACGCCTACACCCCCTGGGCGGATAGGGGAAGGAGCACTCTGGTGGAAAATCAGATTAGCCCCCTACTAGTGACTGTCTAGTTCTTAAAGTGACAGGAACCGGATCCCCTGTTCAGAGACAAACTCCAGATTGCTAGGTGAAAAGAAGAAATTAATCTAGGGTCTGGGGTAGTACATTAAGGAGATGCTGGCTAACTTTCCAACAGAGAATGTGCTGCAGAGAAGGCTTGTAAATAGTTCCAGAATGTTGTCCTCAGTTTATTGGTACCTTTTGGGCATCCTGTACACCCCTAACCCTATCACAGTTCAAATCCCTCAATAAAACAACAAAACCAAAGCTCAAGGACTGATTTCCTACTCTGGATGCAAGCTGTTGTGGAAATGCATCATGCCTGGCTGTGCAGGACTATAGGGGGACCCAAATCATCTAGCGACCCCTAAGGAGGTAGTGCTACAGAATAATGCAGGTAATCATTGCAATAGCAATAACTATTTGTAATGTTACTTTTATGGCTCATTGGCTTTCATAGATGAATAAAAGTCTGTGCTATAATAACGGTCCTTAGAGCTTAGTGAATTAAGCCTCATGTAGCCAGTATAGCAGTTCTGGCAGTCTCCTGGGGGAGGGACTTAGGCAGCAGCAAGAATTTTGCCAGTAAGTGCCCCCCCCCCCCCCAAACAAACAGGTGATAGCAAAGAACATGGTGCACATTGTCCTCTATAGATGGCTGCAATTATTTACCAGTACCATACCTTGTAATTTCTGTTAATGTGTTTTTTAAGGTGACTCCATGGATGTTCATATGAACATGCCATTCTCCACAAAGGACAACGACGTTACTGCAGACAAATGTGCCAGCCTACACAAAGGAGGATGGTGGTACAATAACTGCCACCATGCAAACCTGAATGGGCTTTACCTACTGGGACCTCATAACTCCTATGCTGACGGTATCAACTGGTACACCGGACATGGTTACAATTATTCCTACAAGATATCTGAAATGAAGATTAGACCAATCTAATGACACTTAGGGGTCTATGTATACATAAAAAAATTTGTTGGACAAATGTGACAAGTATTAGCCCATCCTTGATGAATTCTTACTGTGCCTAGTGGCCATAATGTGGAAGGAGGTATTTATTCCATAAACGCTTTCAACCCTCTTCCTGCCCACGCCATTTTTCATCTTTCAGGGCTGTCACACTTTGAATAACAATTACTTAGTCATGCAATACTGTACCCAAATGACATTTGTATAGTTTTCTGAGAGCTTTCTTTTGGTGGTACAGGCGTACCTCGGTTAACGTAATTTTTTTTTTTTCGCAATACGAACGGATTAATTGGTTTTCAATGCATTTACGATTTGTTTTTTAATCATGTCCCTGTACAGTACTATGCCTTTAAAGTGCACTTTATAAAGGGTTTTGAACAGATAAGACTTTTTTTTACTTTTTTCTGACCTCCGGAAAGGATTAATTGGTTTTCAATGTATACGAAAAGTCCCGCAGAATGCATTAAATTCATAAACCAAGGTACGCCTGTATTTAATCACTACTGGTGTTTTTTTGCTATATAAACATTATAGAACAATAAAAATATACAGAAAATTTTGAAAAAAAAAAACCCCAAAGTTTGTCTTTGTTATTGGTTGAAAATTTAGCATATAAATAATCTTTTTCAATTTAGAGCAAAAAGGTATTCTGCTACACTTCTTTGGTAAAAATAACCCAAATCAGTGTTTATTATTTAGGCTGTAGGAAAGTTATAGAGTCCACAAACTATGGGATATACAGTATATTTGAAAATTGATCAATCCTGATGTACTGACAGCCGATCTCATATATAATACCAGTACAGTACAAATACACTGCAAATGATCCCTTTTTGGAGAATAGACAGTCCAAGGAATTTAGTAAGAGGAATGGAGAGTTTTTTGAAATTGTAATTTTCTGTCATAATTTTTTTTGAAAATGAAATAATTTTGTTTTCTTCACAGTTGTCATTTTAAGTTATTTCTCACACACAGTATGGGTATACTTAGAACTACACCCCCAAAACACATTCTGTTATTTCTCACGAGTATGGGGATGACACATGCGTGAGACTTTTTCACAGATGCATAGAGGGGCCCAAAATCTAAGGAGCACTCTGAGCTTTCAAGGAGGATACATTATGCATCTAATTTCAAGCTAATTCAGCTAAACTGAAATTACATTGAAACTTGAGTTAAGCTCACCCTGGCACCCTTTTCTGTTGTCCCTATTGTGGAAAGGTTAGATTACCTCCTTTAAAGAGAATCAGTTTTTGGACCTTTGCATTTACCACCTATCTGATGAACCTATCACTTGCAAGCTTCAGCCTGATAGTACTTTGCAGGTATCTATCACTGGTAGTCTCATATTATTGGTGAGCGAGTCTTCCCAGCTAAAACTCTTAAAGATAAATTCCACTGGCTGTGCGCATTAGATTATCAGGTAACAGATTGGCAGTCCACCCCTTTTTCTCAGTCAGGGGTAAATGGAAAGTTGGGGGAATCTTCACTTGTTGACTCTCACTCCTTCTCAGCCCCTTCTGTTGCTAACAGACATGTGCAGAACGAAAACATTTGTTTAGTGTCGCTTTGGGTATATATTTGTTATGTTGCTAATTTCATTTTGTTGTTGCTCATTTTTGGAATTCGTTTAGTTTCATTGATTAATTTTCAAATTTTTGGAACAATTAGAATTCGAATCTGGTCTGGTATGGATTTAAAGGGGTATGAGGGCTCCCCTAAATTCATACAGGACCCTTATGCGAGCATGCAGCCTGTCAGGCCAGGAAGGGGGGGATGAGTGAGCAACCCCCCCCCCCCCTTCTGAACCATACCAGGCCACATGCCCTCTACATGGGGGGTGCTTTGGGATGGGGGGTCAACCCCAAAGCACCTTTTCCCCACAGGTGGTTCTGGAGGTGGGTGACTGTTGGAAACTGGAAGCCCCCATTAACAAAGAGGCCCCCAGATCCCAGCTTCCACCCTATGTAAATGCATATTGGGTACATAGTGCCCCTACACATTCACCAAAAAAGTGTAAAAAGTTAGTAAAAACACAATAGTTTTTGACAAGTCCTTTAACAAAAAATAAATGTCCCCCAAAGCAGATTCAACATCAATCACAATGGTCTGCCAACCTGAAGAAAAAAAAGCACCCTGTGAAGGCTTCCACCATCTGATAGTTCTTAAATAACCAAGGGGTGGGGATATCCAACGATATCACAGGGGGACCCCACCCCATTATGACATCATTGACCGGGGGACAATTCATTTTGACTGAAACAAATTGAACATATCTAATTGCTAGGGCTCTGGGCTGTTCAAGACATACTCTGTCTCCATTGACCAGGTAGTCCCTTGTGTGACCCATCAGTCTCTTCAGGTAAGCAGGGTGGGTTCTTCTCCTCTGCTTTAGAGGAATCCAGCCCCTTGAGACTGGACTGGAGCAGCTGGAGAATAGGTAAGCATAGAAAACTCATCTTTACAGGGCAAGATAGATTAGGTTTAGAATGTGGCTTAGAGTAGGTTTTGGCTGAACTTCCACTTTAACCATAAACCTGTTAAAAAAAAAAAAAAATGTCACTTTAAATGATTATCTTGAAAATTATCCCCCACCCATGACAGCCCGTGGGGCCTGGCGATTATTCCATTTTCTAGAAGAAATGGGCATTTTCTGAACGCTCCCAAAGAGAACAGAGCTGCAAGGGAATATAGCTAAGGTTTTATTAGGTGTACCAGTGGCCCTGAATGGGAAAGTGACAGGTTCTCTTTAAAATGTTACTAAATGCAAAATAAAAATTAACAAGCCACCTAACATTATCCTACCCATCTGTCCCCAAACATACACTTATCCTTCTGCCCCCAACCACCAATCATTAACCTACCCATCTGTCCCCAACCACCAAACTAGAAACCTAGCCATCTGTACCCAACCATCCACCATTAACCTACCCTTCTGTCCCCAACCACCAAACTAGAAACCTATCCCTCTGCCCCCAACCACCCATCATTAACCTACCCTTCTGTCCCCAACCAACTAGAAACCTATCCCTCTGTCCCTATTAACCCACCCATCTGTCCCTAGCCACCCGCCATTAACCTACCCATTTGTCCCCAACCACCAAACTATCCCTCCACCACCATTAACTACCCATCTGTTCCCAACCACCCAGTTAGAAACCTATCCTTCTGTCCTCAACCACCCCCCATTAACCTACCCATCTGTCCCCAAAACACCCATCATTAACTTACCATCTGTCCCAACCACTAAACTATAAACCTATCCCTAAAATATTCAAATAATTACTGCGCTCCAATACCCTCAAAAAATGCAATCAAAAAGTGCACAGTGCTTATAAAATAAATAAAAATAATGAATATTAAAGTGATGGATATAAATAAATAAAAAATTATAAAAATTATGCAATATTATCATACTATCAAATCATTATTTGTGTAATCTTCATATAATTGTGCAAATATTTCATTTGTAAAACACCAAAGAATAATAAAAATGAAAAATAAAAAAATCTACTGTGAGAAAAGCAACAATATTGTCCCAAATATAACTGTGCAGATGAGTATCCAGCCAAGACAGATATACTCTCCTTTGGTATGCAGATAAGGTCTTTGGCAAAATGTTGGAAACCTGTGTGGCTGCAGGGCTGTGAGGGAAACTCCCTCCTCTAATCCTCTCCTTAATCCTCTGCTTTTATGTTTCCTCCTGTGTCTCCTGCAAAAGAGAAACAAAGAATATGGTGTCTTATCCCAGAGGTAAAATCAGCTTTAATATGCTTCCATAATGCACTCACATTTCATATAAATCATTAGCGCTTTTGGGTATATCAAAATCCGCAGTTTGCAGCTAAAACAAATCGGAGGGTGTGTGTCCACACACCTACAGTACTCGCTGTATAGCAGATAGAATGCGCAGTGACGTCACTGCCCCTCCCCAACGCGTTGCGCTACAGGGATTTCGTAGCTTCGTGCGGGGGATGATGTGTGAATGTCACCATGCTTAATTGCCTTATATAGTGAAATTCCGGCGCCATTTTGTTGGATGCATCCTGGGCGCAGCCATGTTTTTGTGGTCTATTATCGCACCAAGTACATTGGTGTTATATGTCTAATTGTTAACATCCTAATTAATACAGTGACTGACTACCACTGCTATCTCCGGTTTATACTGATAATGTGTGTAAACTCCACCACAATTAGATATTACAACAATAAAAACTACACTTTATTACAATATTTAAAAATCAGTTATTATATATAATCAAATTAGCAAATGCTTGTGAAGATATGTATAGTATAACACATTTAATCCACCGATAAAAAATATATCTATATATAATACTAAATAAATTAATTCAATTAAATTATGTATAATTCATATCAAAAAAATAAACATGAAAAAAATAATAATAAAAAAAAAAATTATATAATATTAAATAATGAATATCCCATTAGATAATAACTCCCCTCGCAATTGATCCCTGTGATTAGTGATCATTCAAGAAGCATGACAGATCGAATTCCTTATTTAAACCATGAGGGACTAGACTGTTCATTTCGTAAATCCAGTATGATTCTTTTTTGCTAACCTCTCTCTAATAATATTATCACCTCTCCAGTGTGTATTGTTTTTCGATGCCCCAAAATTCTAAACCTTCGACTTGTTGTTTGTGATGGTGTTGAAAATGTACCGGTACGTGATGATATTTAAATCCTTTAATTATATTTCTAACATGTTCTTTTATTCGATCTTTTAGTTCTTCCAATATAGATTTTATTACATGGACACTTTAGAGCATAAACTACTCCTTTCGTGGCACATGATATAATTGTTTTTTTTTATATATGTGGCCATTGATCGGATTTGTAAATTCCTTTCTATGTTTTGGATTGTTTTTGGTTCTTACACAACTATAACATCGGCCACATTTATAAAATCCTATTCCTGAGAAAATCGTAATACTTTTACTTTA